ATTTTTCACTTTAAACTCCGAAAATAATTTTTTCTATTTTTTTATATTTCTGTTTTTCTTGTTTTGAATTATATCTGAATGCTTTTTATAATAATTTTCTAAACCTATTCAATAATTTATTTAATATACATTATTTAAAATCATTTATTTTATTTTATTTTAAATTTTAATAGTAAAGTTTATTTCATCTATTATTTAAACTTAATTATATTGAACCACTTTGGAAAATATTTTCCGGAAACTATTTTTATTGGAAAATATGTCTTTATTTAATTGTTTGATATTTGTATTTTATAAATTTTCTTAGTACATTTTTTACTTGTTTAATTGGAAAAATATTTTTTTTTTGTTTGATTTAAGTATTGATTTATTTTTTTTATTGATAGTTAGTTTTATTTTAATTACTTATATTTTAATATTCTTAAACATGTTATCATTTAATGATTATGTATTGTTGTACATTATGTATGCTACATAAATTATAATTATATGCGCACTCGTGCGATATTTTTGCTTACTTATAGCGTTTTCTACAAGCATTCAATATAACAAACTCACATACCACGCATGCATTTGCTTCAACAAATTGCCTGTTAAATATTGCGTCCCACATTTAGTACATAATTGGACAACTGTCATATAAAACTGATCGCATCCAAATCAAATTCTGTATGGAAAATTTTTCTATACGCATTGGTAACCGGTAGATATACTTCACTAAATTGGCATAGATTATGGCTAGGCAACGCACAATCTCCTAGATATAGATTATTGTACAGATCGGACCACTTAGCATATAGCTGCCATACCAAACTGGCCACGAAATTTCAATATAAGATTGTTTTCCCTTTATTACACTTTATAGTGCTATCCCTAGATTAGCACGAAAAATACCTAAAAATTGATAAACTGCAAATATCAAATAATTAAAAGAAATATATTCCAAATTGAAGCTTTTAAAATATTGTATACTATAAAATGATGAAATAATTAAGAAAAATCGTTATCAAATCATAAAAAAATATTTAAAAAAAATATATATAAATATATATTTTCCAAATAAAGAAAGTTTCCACTAAAATAAAATATGCTATAAATTAATTAAATAATTAAAGGAAATTATGTATTATCAAACGTTAAAAAAATATTTGAAAATAAAATAAAATATTTTCCAAAACTAAAAAATAAAATGAAAGTTGTCTAAAGAAAAATTGCAAAGTACAAATATAAAATAATTAAAAAAAAAAATATTTTCCAAATCAAAAAGTGAATATTCTCCACTTGTCTGTCAAGCAATTCTTACTATCTGTCAAATCGCGAGTGTTTCATGCTTCCCATTATTGTGTACGAGTGTGTGCATTACACGAGCAAATCGCTAAAGCGATTACCAATAAAAACCGAACCAAAAAAAAATCCATAATGTAAAATTCGCGATATGTGTAAATTTTTGCAGCAATCTTGAGAACAACAATGAGATTTATTCACTTGCACAATACGAGGCAAGCAAGCTTAAAGTGGAGACAAGCGACAGTGAAAGCAATCAAAGCAACATTGGCGATAGCTGTGGCAACAACAATCTCACAAAGAAAATCAACGATAACAGCAACTGCAACAACAACGATAACTCAACTGACGACTATAAACGGAAATTATTAGAGTGCAGTAAAGAATCAAAACTGAAACAAGAACAAGAAAATCCAGAAATCCTTAATAAATCTTGCAAAATTGCGTTGCATTCGATCAAAGCAGCCAACTCACCACCGTCAACGCATACAGACCTAACCACCGACAACAACGATCTCAACGAGGATCGTAATATAAACATAACCAACAACAACAATACAACTAATAAATTATGTTCCTCCATTAAACGCGAAAAAACGTGTGCAATTAATGCAAATCCCTCTATTACCATTACCACTACCTCAGGCAACACTAATTGCGCAGCCACACCCCCATTAGATAATACCACGAAATTGATCGACTCTAATAAAACGATTGTATGTGAAAAGTCACTTTCTCCATTGCGTCAGAATTTACAATCGAATTGTTTAAACGGCAGCGACAATAAAACCAACAACAACAATAATAACACTAGTGTCTCGAGCAATAAGAATTTGCTTCTAGCAAAATCGCTCGAAGAGAAACGCCCCAAGTCGGTCACCGCATCGGTATTTCGTCCGGCTACATTGGCCGATTTGAGCGGTACACATACAACAACGGCAACAGCAACGCCGCTATCGCCGCCACTACCAACGCTCGTACCATCGACTACGAGCACTTCGTCGGTATTTGTGAATGCAGCAAATGCACCGTCGTTGCCGCCGTTGAACGCCGCTCCGCGCGCCCAATCGGTAACGGCTTCTGTATTTACGCCGATTTCGCAGTTGTGTAATCGACAACAACAACACATTGCTAAAACCAATTCCATTATAACACCAACAACGGTGACAGCAGCAATACTCAGTGGCCAACAACAACATCATCAGAACCACCAAAACTCACAGACACCGACACAGCAGACACAAGATATGAATAAGTTTTTGTCGTTCGGGGATGAGACAAATGAGTTAACAAGTGAGTAGAGCAATCTTCTTCTTATTTATTTAGTTTAAGTGTCACACACACACATACACATACAGAAGCAATCATTATCGTTTTAAGTTTTGCGCTTTGAAGTCATAATAATTGCATTGGAAGCGACAAACAGAAATATTTATGTAGATATCTTTATCTTTGATCTATCTAGACTTTTAGTCCATCTTTACCCTGAAAAGGGTATAGTCAGTTGGCACGAAATTTGTAACACCCAGAGAAAAATGCTGCAATTTATCAGACGTTCTCTTCTCCCCAAGACGCTGCTTATTGGTCAGAATCGCCGATACCGGACCACTATAGCATATTGCTGTCATATAAACTGATCGATCCAAATCAAATTCTTGTATGGAAAACTTTTTCTTTGACTAGATATCTTCACTAAATTTGGCATAGATTATGGTCTAAGGCAACGCTACAATCTCCGATAGATATAGATTTATTGTACAGATCGGACCACTTTAGCATATAGCTGCCATACAAACTGGCCAATCGAAATCAATATAAAGTTCCTTTTATACACTTTTATGCTACCAGAAGCCACATTTTTTTGTCTTATTAAAAATGTACTTTTTTCTATTTGGTATTACCTTTACAATTAACAAGCTTAAAATCTGTAAAACTACCCTCTAGCAAAACTTAAAAAAAGGTCTCTTAGGGATTGAGATTATTAATTGGCAATCGTTCGTATTTACAGGCTGACTCGGCGCAGTGTAAATATTGTCGCTGTGTAAACAGTCAATTAACGTCAATAAATTTTTTGGTGTTCGATTCTATTTTTAAAGAGTCAATTATCGTCAATACATTTTTTGGTGTTCGATTCTATTTTTAAACAAATTACTCGATTCCCAGCATGTTTGTTTTTGCTATGCCCCATTTGTTGTGCTAATTTGCTGATTTTCAATATGCCTAACTAAGATGGCAAACAGACTTATGTAGTTTAATTTTCCTATTTATTGAAACTGCTTTGTTGTCGGTTTTTTGTTGTTTTTTTTGTGTTTTAAAATTTTGGTATTTTCTCTGATATAACTTTTTGTTATTTTAACAAGTTGTTAATGCAATTAACATTTTACACTTGTGATATAATTGATACTTATACGCATAATTAACTGTTTTAATTAATATACTTTATGTATTTTAATTGTAATATATGTATATGATTATTAATTTGTTTTTAGTTTTTTAATCTTTTGGTGTTTTTTCATATTTTTTTTTATAGTTGATTTAAATTTTTAATTTAATACTTTTTTTTTATTTAATTGTCTTCTATTTTTTATTTTAATATAGTACAATTTTTATACTCTCGCAACCTGTTGCTACAGAGTATAATAGTTTTGTTCACCTAACGGTTGTTTGTATCACCTAAAATTAATCGAGTTAGATATAGGGTTAGATATATATAAATGATCAGGATGAAGAGACGAGTTGAAATCCGGGTGACTGTCTGTCCGTCCGTCCGTCTGTCCGTCCGTCCGTCTGTCCGTCCGTCCATGCAAGCTCTAACTTGAGTAAAAATTGAGATATCTTTATGAAACTTGGTAGACATGTTTCATGGTACCGTGAGACGGTTGGTNTTATTAGTTGACAATATATAAAATTATACTCTCTAATCTACATATGTACTTATGTATATGAGGAATGAATAAACAATTTACACGCTCGTAAAATTGTTATATCACAATTACTTGCTGATTTTCGAGGTATCTGACGTTCAATGGTTATCAATAATTACTTGCGATTGCATTATCTACGCAAACATAGAAGCGTTCTTATAAACATAAATAGTATTATATACAGATGTATATATAATATTTTGATGCCTTTTTCTGAATAGTTCTGGTAGATAAGCGAAGTACCGATTAACAATTGTTAAACTATTTCGTCATATAACAACTTCTCTTTACCATAGTTTGGGTATATTGCGTAGTTTGGCAAAGACCAAAGGTTGATTATGTTTCACAACATATAGATATAAGTCATCGCAACTGTTGAATCGTTTTGAAATTTCTGTAAGTACTATTAGTATGCTAGAATTACCATGTTCAAGTCAAGATTTCACAACGCTGTGTCAACGTGGCCATTACATAACCAAATTGGCGACATCAACAAGTCGTGGTGCTATAATAACAAGCTAGTGCGCAAACAGCGAAAATTCTACGGCTAGATAGCAAACAATATTATACTGCGAGGATGGTTTAAAATTTTTGTAACTAAATATAGCTGTGTATTACTTTTTAAATAATTTTTTCTATTACTATAATAATAACATTGTTTTATAAAATTTTTTTTTTCATTTTTGTGTACAGTTTTGATATATCTCGGCAAGTAAATTATGTTACAGTTTAATCATTTAAACGAGTGTCGCTCACCTATTAAAAGTAAAACAATCGAAATTATGCTCCAAATTGAACTTCTAAGTTGTTACAAGCAGTTTATTCTTAAATGAAAATTAAGAACTCACTGTGTAATTAAAAATTTCTTCACGATTAATGACGGTAATTAATGGAGGCTGATAAAGGGTGTTTTTTTAGAGGTATAAAGCTTTAAATTGCAATAAAACAACGATGGATTATTCGATTGACATGAATTGTATTTATCCGAAAGATAATCTTGTGGCATTACATTTTAAATATGATTTCTGGCATATGACCGCCACGGCTGGGTCGGATGTAGTCCAATCTGGACGTCCAATTTTCGATGACTTTTTCCAACATTTGTGGCCGTATATCGGCAATAACACGGCGAATGTTTTCTTCCAAATGGTTAAGCGTTTGTGGCTTATGCGCATAGACCAATGACTTTACATAACCGCACAGTAGTCTAGCGGTGTTAAATTACAAGATCTTGGAGGCCAATTCACAGGTTCAAAACGTGAAATTAGGCGTTCACTAAACGTGTCTTTCAATATCTCGATTGTGGCACGAGCTGGGACATGTTGCGCCGTCTTGTTGGAACCACAGCTCCTGGACTTCATGGTTGTTCAATTCAGGAATGAAAAAATAGTAATCATGGCTCTATACCGATCACCATTTACTGTAACGTTCTAGACATTATCGTTTTTATAGAAGTACGGACCAATGATTGCGCACCAAAAAGTCAGTTTTTCTGGATGTAACGGTGCTTCGAGACATACACTTGAGGATTAGCTTCACTCCGAATGCGGCAGTTTTTTTTTGTTGACGCAGCCATTCAACCAGAAGTGCGCGATACGTATTCCGCACAGAACCATTATTTTCGAAGTAAAATTGCACTATTTGCATGCGTTGTTCAGGCGTGAGTCTATTCATGATGAATTGCCAAACCAAACTGAGAATAAATCACTTGACAGCTGTTATATCGGTCACCATCTTGAACAGTATTGCCAACTTAAAGTTTTATACCTCGAAAAATAAAAACACCAACAACATTGTTTGATACTTAGCCAAGTTTCGTTACTTTTTGAGATGTTTTTCGTGATATCTTTCATCAAAAGCAGGGTCTTACAAGTTTGTATAACTTTTATCTACTTTAGAAAAATCATGATGATTTGATATGCCTTATAGGGCTAGTACTACTATGTACAATAAAAGAGTAGAAAAATTTATATATTTTCTTTTTTAAAGATTTTTTCCTTCGACAGAATTATGAATGATAAAAACATAAAGTTTATACTGACAAAATTTAAAACAAAGATATTCTTTTTTTTAGTTTTCTTCTTTAAAGCTTTTCCTTATTTCATTTGCCAATTTTACCGCACTATTATTATTTCTATAAAACTGGTTCTGCTCAGTTACAGATTACAATATATACTGCTCATGCTAACATGCTTTTGACCCCATTATAATGTTTTTTTTTTTAAAGAAAGCAAAAGAAATGGAATGAATTTGTTAAAGACCGGATTGCCGAAAATATGCTTGCAAAGCCCACAGTTAAAAACATACTGAGTAGGCGCCAACTTAAATGCCAAAAGCTGCTAATCAGTTGCAGCTTTAACTTAATCTCAGAATTAAATTAATTAATTATGCCACCCGGCAACAGCTATTCTTTAAATAAAGATTTGATAATAACAGAAATCGATAATTTTACTGTGAATGAAGCTCTTACGTAATCAATAGAACAAAAAATAGCTAAGTGAGGTCTCATATAAGAAAAAAATTTTGAAAATTAAAAAATAAATTTAATAAAAGTATAAAAGTATAAAATACTAACATAAACTATAAAAAGAAAATATGTGTATATATATAATATCACAAAAAATATATGTATATAAAAAAAATTAAATTAAAAATATATACAATAAATTCTAAATAAATTTCCTTAAAAACCATTTAAATTTTGCAAATTGAGTTTTTTGTTGTAATACCCATCCCGGTTTGCAAATTGCGTGTTTTGTTGTACAAGTAAATGTTTTTAAATATTTTTGCTTTTTACCATTTGGTCTAAAATTGTTCAAACTTTTGTTGCATTGTTCATTTCACTTCAGTTGCTTTAATTATCTTCTTTATAGTATTTATTTTGTTAAATCCACCAAAATTTAAATAAATCGAGTATTAACCGCTCTATGCGGCTTAATTAAGTTGTTGCTATACTTTTTTATTTTAGTTTGCTAAAATTAGTTGAAGAAAACAAAAAAACGTAAATACACTCGGAGCTCCTCCGCACCCCTTGCATCGCCTACAAAAAAGAAATTCTTTCATTCGCCAGTAAGTGTTTTGTTTTTGTTTTTAATTTCACTTAATTTATTTTACTTTGCGTGGTGTTTGTTGGAATATTTTTCGCAACATTTCTAAATGAATTAATTGGTTTCGCTGTTTTCCACACGCGGACCTACATAAAAAATCTACATTTTGTGTTTTTATTGGCTCATACTTATTATTTGGACACACTCCCGGACCAGCATTCATCAGCAGCTACTGGTTTTACTTTATTATATGTACATACATACATGCTAATGTACTATATTCATGTGTGGTCGTGTGCACTTCACTGGGTGTTTGTGGAAA